TTGAACACCCATTTATGATTAAAAACTGAACAAGGTGGGAAGTATGTATAGAGGGAACATATGCCAACATAGTAAAGGCCATATATGACAAGCCACAGCTAATATCACATTCAATGATGAAAAGGTAAAAGCTCTTCCTCTAAGATCAGGAACAAGAAAGGATGCTCACTCTCACCACTTTTATTCAACATAGTATTGAAACTCCTCACCAAAAGCAATTAGGTAAGAAAAATTTAAAAAGACATCCAAATCGGAAAGGAAAAAATAAGTGTCATTTATTGCAGATGACCTGATATTATGTATAGAAATCCCCAAGATTCCACCCCCCCAAAAAAAAAAAACCTGTTAGAAGAAATGAATTCAGAAAAGTTGCAGGATATAAGATCACTATATAAAAATCAAGTGTACTACTATACATTAATAATGAACTATCACAAAGAGAAAATAAGAAAACAATTCCATTTACAGCTGCATCAAAAAAAAAAACAAAATACTTAGAAATAAATTTAGTGAAGAAGGTAAAAAACCTTGGTTTACTGAAAACTATAAAACACTGATGAATGAAACTGAAAATGACATAAGTAAATGTAAAGATATTCTGCATTCATTGATTGGAAGAATATTGTTTAAATGTCCATACTATGCAAAGCAATCTACAGATTGTTGTCAGTCTATAGATTTGACAGATCTCTGTCAAAATTCCAAAGGCATTTTTCACAGGATTAAAACAAACAATGTGGGGCGCCTGGGTGGCTCAGTGGATTGAGCCTCTGCCTTCGGCTCAGGTCATGATCTCAGGGTCCTGGGATCAAGCCCCACATTGGGCTCTCTGCTCGGCAGGGAGCCTGCTTCCCCCCTCACTCTGCCTGCCTCTCTGCCTACTTGTGATCTCTCTCTCTCTGTCAAATAAATAAATAAAATCTTTAAAACAAACAATGCTAAAATTTGCATGGAACTACAAAAGACCCCAAATAGCCAAAGCAATCTTGAGAAAGAACAACAAAGCTGGAGACCTCTTGCACCATGGTTGCTAACTATATTACAAAGCTATAGTAATTAAAACAGTAAGAAACCGGCATAAAAACAGACACACAGGGGCATCCGGGTGGCTCAGTTGGTTAAGCATCCAACTCTTGATTTTGGCACAGGTATTTCATGATCTCAGGGTTGTGAGATCTAGCCTGGCATTGGGCTCCATGCTCAGCAGGGAGTCTGCTTGAGATTCTCCCTCTCCCTCTGCTCCTCCCCTCTCTAACATAAATTTAAAAATCTTTAAAAAAAATAAACAAAACAGATACATTGATCAATGGAACAGAATAGAGAGCCCAGAAATAAACCCATGCATATATGGTCAGTTAACTTACAACAAAGGAGCCAAGAACATACAATGGGAAAGGACAGTTTCTTCAATAAGTAGAGCTACAAAAACTTGACAGTCATATGCAAAAGAATGAAACTGGACTACTGTCTTACACCACACACAAATGAACTCAAAATGGATTAAAGACTTGAATGTAAGCCTGAAACCATAAAATTCCTAGAGAAAAACATAGGTGGTAGGCTCCTTGACAGTGATCTTGGTGATGATTCTTTGGATCCGACTCTAAAAATAAGCCAGTGGGACTACATCAAACTAAAAAGCTTCTTCATAGCAAAGGAAATTTTCAACAAAATGAAAAGCCAACCTACTAAATGGGAGAAACTATTTGTAAATCATATATCTAATAAGGGGTTGATATCCAAAATACATAAACAGCTCATATAACTCAATAGCAAAACATTGAACAACCAATTTATAAAATGGGCAGGGGATGTGAACGGACTTTTTTTTTTTTTAGATTTTTCATTTATTTACTTGAGAAATAGAGTGTGTGCACGCGAGAGCACAAGCACGGGGAGCAGCAGAGGGAGAGGGAAAAGCAGGCTCTCTCCTGAGGAGAGACTCTGAAACCATGACCTGAGCCAAAGACAGATGCTTAACCAACTGAGCCACCCAGGCACCCCTAGACATTTTTCCAATGAAGACATAAAGACTGCCAACAGACACATGAAAAGATCCTCAACATCACTAATAATCAGGGAAATGCAAAACAAAATCACAATGAGATATCATCTCACCCCAGTCAGAATGGCTAGTATCAAAGAAAAACAAAAAACAAGAAACAAAACAAGAAATAGCAAGTGTTAGCAAGGATGTGGAGAAAAGAAAACCTTTGTGCACTGTTGATAAGAATGTAAATTCATGGGGCACCTGGGTGGCTCAGTGGGTTAAGCCTCTGCCTTCGGCTCAGGTCATGATCTCAGGGTCCTGGGATCGAGCCCCGCATCGGGTTCTCTGCTCGGCGGTGAGCCTGCTTCCCCCTCTCTCTGCCTGCCTCTCTGTCTACTTGTGCTCTCTCTCTCTCTCTGTCAAATAAATAAATAAATAAAATCTTAAAAAAAAAAAAAAAAAAAAAAAAAAAAAAAGAATGTAAATTCATCCAGCCACTTGGAAAACAGTATGGAGGTTCCTCAAAAAATTAAAAATAGAATTACATATGCTCCATCAATTTTACTGCTGGGTATTTATCTGAAGGAAAAAAAAACCCACTAACTCAAGAAGATATATGCATCCCCATGTTGAATTCCTAACCGCCAATACCTCAGAATATGACAGTATTTGGAGACAAAATCTTTAAAATGGCAGTTAAGGTTAAATGAAGTCATTAGCATAGGCCCTAATCCAAAATGACTGTGTCCTTTTAATGAGATTGGAATTCAGAAGCTACAGAGTGCAAAGGATCTGAAGATACCAAGAGAAGAGAGCCATCTACAGGCCACAAAAAGTCTAAAAACAAATCTGTGGACACCTTGATCTTGGAGTTTTAGTCTCTGGAATTATGAAAAAATAAATTTCTGTTGTTTAACCCACCCAATCTGTGGCATTTTGTTAGGACAGCCTTTGCAAATACAGATGATTAGAGATTCTTTTTTTTTATTTTATTTTATTTATTTATTTGACAGAGAGAACACAGCAAGAGAGGGAACACAAGCACAGGGAGTAGGAGAGTGGGAAGCAGGCTCCCCGCTGAGCAGGCAGCCTGATGTGGGGCTTGATCTCAGGACCCTGGGATCATGACCTGAGCTGAAGGCAGAAGCTTTAACCCACTGAGCCACCCAGGCGCCCCGATGATTAGAGATTCTAAATGAAATCTACTTTGGCAAAACTATCCACAGTGATTTAGTATTTAAACTTTGTTATTGAATAGTACCTTCCCTTCATTAGTGAGATGCAGTAAGATAGAGTAAGAAGAAGGGTGATGGGGTGCCTGGGTGGCTCAGTGGGTTAAAGCCTCTGCCTTCCCCTCAGTTCCTGATCCGAGAGTCCTGGCATCAAGCCCTGCATCCAGCTCCCTGTTGAGCAGGGAGCCTGCCTCCCCCCCTTCTCTCCGCCTATGTGATCTCTGTCAAATAAATAAATAAATAAAATCTTAAAAAAAAAAAAAAAAAGAAAGAAAGAAAGGAAAAGGGTGAGAGAAGAGCCTCAGAAACAACTTTAGTTCTTTCACGTTCGAATTTATTTCCTATAAACTTGTCATTCCAACGCTAACCATAATAGCAATTTTTGCTCCAATTAAATTATTTCCCCCCAGAACAGTATGTAGGGATTTCATGAAGATTCTGTAGAGGTCTACTATGGTACTTTATTCACCAGGCCTCTTGATACCATCTTTCCTGGCGGCAACAAACCTTCCCAGAGGGTCCACTACTACCCCAAAACGTCGCCTGGAACCTCCCTTTCGCTTCATAGAAGAGGACAAGGGAAAACAGGAAATAAATTTAATAGCAGTTAATAAGCACATGTCTTGGACTAAGAGTATTCCTAAATATTTTTAATTCAACTTTACAAAAGGTGACTCTATTTTTCTTTAATTGCACCCTCAACGTACAGAAGGGAGGTAAGACTCAGACGCCCGCTTTCCAGCGTCAACCGCGCCCGGCTGCGGCCAGATACGAACACATTATGGGTCAGTCTGCAACGCGGGAAATCAGAAAGACACGTAAATCTCCCACACGCTCTCCTGCTCCATGTCCTTTGCTTTTTCTAAGCTTGTGTTTACAGACTCTTTCGGCGAGGCTTTCCGTAACGAGTGTAAATACTCCTAAGAGATTAGACCAGAAAAAAGAAATAGGAAAAAAAAAAAAAAAAATGACTGCAGATCACTGACACCTGCGCTTCAGGAACAGCAATTCCCGCGGAAGACCAAAGTCCGGGATAGTTCATTAATAGACAAAAAAATCAGCTAGTTCCATATATATTAACCTACCTAAAAATTTAGAAGCTGAAAACTATATAACTTCCTGTTTTGGTAACTACGGCAACTTCAAACGTAACTACTCTAAAGTAAACAGTAAACAAACTTTTCACCTTCCCAGTCGGCCGGATATCAGAGAATCAGGATTCCCTAGTCTCGCGAGAACTTCTGACTCATGTATGCGCGTGCGTCAGAATCGAAGAGCTGGTGAGCCTCCCAGTCCCCACGGTGGGCGGGGGAGGTGGAGCAAACTCTGAGAGGAGGGAGGGGCCAGCAGGAAGGGGTGGAATCTTGGAGGGGCCGTGAAGGGAGGAGCGGAGGGAAAAACGTGTGCGCCCCGCCCCTCGCGGCGCTTCCCGGGAACAGCGTCACCAGCTCTATAAGAGAGCGTGCGCCGAGAAAGGGGGCCTTTTACATCCGGGAAGCGTCGGGGTTAGGTTCTGTTATTAAGGTAGGCTGTCGTGTTTTGTGGACCACGGTGGTAATTGGGGCAGAACTTTTTGGCTTAGTTAAAATGCAGGAGTTTCAAGAGCCTTGTAGTGGTAGGTTCAGTTCAGCTGTGAAAACCTCTGGGTTTGAAAATCTGAGGAGACTTAGGTGTTCATGAGGTCACGAGGCGGCCACGTGCAGCCCTGGCTACCGAGTCTGAGAGGCAGAGCGCGCTCGGGTCTTGGGTCCTCGGGCAGAGGTTCGAAACACGTGGCGACTTCGGCAAAGGTCGTGAATTCCGCGGTCCGTGTCAAGTGGCCATCTTGAAACTGCCTCGCCGCTGTTAAATTTTAAGACCGTATCCCGGTACTCCCCCATTTAGATCTAGGTGAGTAGTGTCTCGCTGTGCATGCGCATCCGTTATCGGATTGTGAATCTCCATGTATCTTTGGGACCTGTCAGCTGTGGCAGTCTCCCTTCCTAGCCATGGAAGAGCATATTCTTGTTTATTGGCAAAGCTGTCACCATTTAATTGGTATCAGATTCTGACTTGCACAAGTAACATTCTTCACTTACGAAAACTTGGAGGGTGCTGGGTTATCGGGCACACATCTATTGGTTCAAATGTTTCCAGGAAGCAGAAGTAATTGTTCCGATGGATAATAGAAAACATGACCTGGTAGGTAACTTTTTATTAATATTTCATAGTTAGTCTGAAACCCTTAGTGCTAAGGAATTGGAAGGCCAGAATTGGCCCGTTTTTGCTGTTCCTTTGTAATTTGAAAGGGGCTGATAGCCAGCTAAATAGAGAGTAACAGATAGTTGCTAAGACTTGAGCACCGTGATGTGAGTACAGATCAGTGATATAACGTTGGTTATCTTCTCTTGCAGATAATCAAGAAATTCAGTGTGGTATGGGTGAAGTCCTGTTTGTTTAGAAGCCTGTGGCGCACTGCCAAAAGGTGATCAACAGCTTGCGTATTGAATGGCGAATAATATTCTGGAAACTATCAGGGTGGTGTGTTCAATATAGGTCTGAATTTTTTGCCTATAGCCTGTAAGTAGAGAATATGTGAGCACTTCCTTGCTTGCTATAATTAAGTAAAATGCTTGATTTGTCTGGAGAATCCGTGTTCTCTGACTAAATGATAAGGAGGTGGAAAGGTATTTGTTATTGCAAATAATAAGTAAGACTACCTCTTAGGGTAAGAACTGGTGTTGCTATAGTATCAATGAGTATCGTTGTGAGGTACTACCATATTTGGAGGGAAACAGCATTAAAGGCAGATACCCTTAAGGGACAGCACAGTCATTTTGTACCACACAAAAGATTAAGACTACTATATAAGGTGAACAACTATGCACTTTATTCACACAAATGTACACGGAACACTTGTGTCTTTTAAAAGTCACACTTAAAAATGCTTAACAAGAAAAAATTAGCTATAATAAAGACATACATTATGAACCAAGTATTCAAGTTTGAGCAAACTGTAGTCTGCCTGTTCACTCTCTTGTCTTTAAAGTGTCCGACCAATTTCAATATAAACGTTGCTTGCATCTGCACTATAGTTTAATTAGAAAGGTGGCCTGTGCGACATTTCGGTAGAGATAAATTTTCTCTCCTGTATTGCACATTTTCTCAAGCCCTTGTGCAGGTGTGCATTGTGTAGCTCTATCATCTCTGTAAATGTAAATGCTTTTAAAAATTTCCTTTATCAAAAATCTTGAGCTTTCAGAAAAGTTTTAATGTTCTGCCTGATCTAGCATTACAGTTCTATAAACTATTAAAGCACCTTTATGTTAGCACCAGTTTTTTACAAAAAGAACACAAGTGGATGCAGTGGAGAAAGTAGTGAAGTCCCCTTCACGTGGATTTAGCCTTTGAAGAGGATTACTTAACTGATCCTGATCCTAAAGTTCACACTGACCTTTTTACCTGGCTTTATGCATCTATTTCTTGGATATACAAAAACTGTTTAAACCACCTAAGGGCTCTTGATGTTAGCAATCATAATATGGTGGTGATTGCTTAGGTAGCCTGAGGGGCATGCCTTCTGTGTTTGAGCAGAGATTTTGCGGGTACGTGGTAAGCAGCTGTCCCTTATTGGTTTGGGAAATGGCCAAAGGGGAAAATGGCCTGCAGACAACAGTGGAGGAAGGAAAGAACATTGTCAGTACTGGATCCCACTGGCTTACTTTGGCCTCTGGGTTTGTTTCTTACCAGCCTTTTGTAAATTATCAGTGAGGTGCATAGCCACTTAACGCAGGGCGTGGCACATAGGTGGTATATGAATTAAATCAGTGGACACAAGTTACAGAGTTTTTTTTCCCACTACGTAAGCAGAGAGAGCTTTTTTAATAGTTATTTTTACTAGCTGGGACAGGATAGTAGAAATCTACATGTTTTGGTCATTACAAGAAAGTTGGCAATAGGTGGCACTCTCAGTCATGGTACAGCAAATTGGCATGATGCCAAGGAAAAATAAAGCTGTAAATTTTAGGGTAGCTGAAAGTAACTGCTAGAGGATGTTAACAAGTAAGATGGATAAATTAAGTTGTACATCCCAACAATTTGAAGGCTTTCTTTACTCTCAGGTATTCCAAATTTTGCTAGGTAACTAGAATATGTTGCATGGTACAAAGGCTTCATTCAGGAATGTATTGTGACTGATCCTATTCCAGTTTAGGTTTATAATGGATTCCTTCACCTTTTTGGCCCTTGATTTCCTCATTTGTCAAAGGCTACAGAGATTTCATTGTGGAAATTTCTCAGTCTTGAAGAAAATCTGAGCTTAATCATACAATACTATTTTTAATAAAGAGTACTGATTCAATTATAAACTCGTAAGCCAAATGAATAAAGACTGCCTTATTGCACAACTGATATACAGTAATCTCTGGAGAGATGAGAATAAAGACTTCAGTGCTAATCAAGAATAATTAGTACTACACTGAGGTATCTAACAAAGAATGTTCACATCACAAATTTCTCAAGCAGCAATGGTATACATGATTTAATCACAACACAAAAGCAGGAACATGGCTCTCATCCCCGTAAGTTGGCATCTCTGGCTGAGTGCTAATGTAGAGGTTGAAAATTTTCCAACATATTCCCTTCAGATTTCTATGAAGGATTATATTTTGGTGACACTTTTTATCCAAGGTACAAAGGCTGAGACTTTGGTATAGACACCAGGTGAATCCTTGGCTCCACAGCCATACCCCCAGGAGGTCACCCCATACACAACCCAACTCTCTCCTGACCGAACACACATGAGTGGTCCTCCACTGTCTCCCTGGCAGCTGTCAACACGTTTGTGTTCCTGCAGATTTCCAGCACAGAGCATTCTTCCTGTAAACCGACCCTTATAACGTTCTTCACAAAACCTCTTGGGAAGCAGGGGGATGGCTGCTTGTTGTAGAGTTCTTGAATAGGCTTTTCCTAATCAGACCAAATAATCTGAATTAGATGACAGCTAAAGACCTTATAGAAAACATTTAATAGTTAAGTGAACATTTAATATTCTTAAAAATATAAACCGTATTAAGATCTAGTGTAGTTTAAATGAGTGATAACTAAATGGTATAGAAGGACATAAAGTGGCAAGAACTACTCTAAATAGAAGCATGGCATTTCATAAGAACTGAGAAGCAAAACATTACTATATACCAAACCGGCCTAAGTGACCATTTGAGGTTAGTGTACTCTACTGGTAAGCCACTCATTGTACAGTGACTAAAATGTAGAACTGATGTTCTCTACGAGTCTTGTCCTGGATGTAAATTCCATTGTTTTGTACCCTATTTACTCAATTGAAATAACATAATAAAACATTGTGTGAAACTGACTCTGACTCAACTTTATCATTTCTGTTAAATTATGTGTCTACAGGAAGGTAAATGAACCTTCCTTCATGAATTGTAATGGATATAATTAAGCTTTCCCAGAGACTCGATTTGCCTCATAGATGCCCATAGTGTACAAAGAAGGCATGTACTCTAGATTATTGTATCATCTAGAAAGTGTTTTCTTGCTTTTCTGCAGTTATGAAATAATGCAGTTACAAAGCCCATATTTTGTGCAGTGTGTGATGAACACAGTGTTTACTAAATAAAACACTGAAATTATCACACATAGAAATACTTCTTTGATGGTCTTTCAAGAGCACAGTGATCAGTGTTGGTCATTTTTAACGGAGAGCAGTCAACCTATCACTTTCTCAATAGCCATTTGTGAATCAAGCACTCAGTCCAGGTAAGCCCCACATCTGTTTCAAGAACCATCCTGAACAAGCACTAGCTGATATACATGGATTTAATTCTATAGCAAAGGCAGTCCAGAAAATTGTTTGCCTGACTATAAAATGAGTATCTTGCTCTAGCTTTGGGGTTGGGAGGGTGGGATCTCCACTTAAAAGCAGCTGCTCTTTTGTCTGTTCTATATTTAGAGATTCTCCATAAAATTGAGCATGATAATGGCCTTCATTACAGAAAAAGCAAGGCCATCACATACCAAAGCCCTCTGCTGGTGTAGCTGTATCATAGTCCTGGAAAAGCTTAAAATAGAGTCAGCAGGCACAGGTATTGGAGTAGGGTCTTAAAAATTGGTTTCCTCGGACTCCCTGCTAGTCTGGAACCGAGAGTACAGGATTCTCTATCCCATAAGGCAACTGAGTTCTGTCGATTTGTGCTAATAGTAATGGTAACCAACAGTACCCTCAGGATATGAATCCAAATAACATGCGTGCAGCACACACTTGGCAGAATTTCTAAACAACTAAGCCTGAACCCAGATTTTCATAACCATTGTACACCCAAAAAGTACTGGTAATCCCAGACACAAGAACATGCCCATTTGTTCTTTGTATTATCTACATTACCTGTGTCTCCCCATCCTGTTATGTAACAATTGGAGGCGGTTTTCTGTGGCCTCTCTCTCCGGAGTGGCAAACAGGCCGGCAAAACATGGCTGCTAAATCTAACACATTGCTCTTCTGGTCCTTCTAATCTAACCAGAGCGATGTCATAGTCACTGCTGTCAGGTCGATACCCCCGATGAATCACAATCTGCTGAACTCCGATTTCTTCTTCAAATTCTTCTGGCACCAAAGTATGATAATCCCCAACCCTAACAGCATAGTTCCTTGTGCTGTTACCATACCTGAGGGGCAGAGAGTAGTAAGCGGTTGGAAACAACTCAGGTACAGTGGATTGAGATAATTTCTTCCTAATCATTATCCCTTTCTGTAAGTTTACCCTTTCCAGTTCTCTGAGCCCACCACTCTCGGTTGTGTACTTCAAACCCATTTCATCGCTTCATTTCACAGCTTAATCCAGGTTCCCGTGAAATTGTTTTCTGAGAAGAAGCAAATGTGGAGCACAAGTAGCAAATAACAGCTAATTGTTAACTTGTTATTTTCCCATCATGAAAAAAGATAAAAACAGGAACAAATAGTATAGAGTAAAATTACTGTCTTGTATTTGCTGTCTTCGTTTTTCTATCATTTCCGAGATGTTAGTTCATCACAAAGCTCCTAGAGGGCAGGAATCATGGCTGGTCTAGCTTTGTATTCCTCAAAGCTTTTAGCACAACCCCTTGACTCCTGTTTCCTGTGAACTGAATGCAAACCAAAACTATATTTTCAGGGCGACATAAATTCAGTATATTCTCTCAAATCTGTCCAGATGTTATCCCAGTGAGACCTGATTTAAAACTGCAGTCTACCCTTTGTCCTCCATTCCCCAGCACTCCCAATATCTTTAATCTCTCTTCTTTAACACCACTTTCTAACAGGCCATCTGAGTTACTATTACATTTGTAACTCTGTCTCCCTCTGCTTAAACAAGAGCTATCCACGGGCAGGAATCTTTATTTTCACTGATGAATCTTAAACACCTACAACAGTGGTCGCTGTTAAGTAGAAATGCAGCATATGTTTTGATTCAGTAAATGAATGAATGTATATTTTTAATGTGTCTTTTTCCCTTAAACTATTCAATTTAAGTAGAAACAATATTTACTAGATTGATAGTTCTCAGCTTGTTTTTTTAACCACATACCTTGATTATGGTGCATCGACCTAAAGCAGTTTCCCAACCTCAGCACTACAGACCTACGAACCCAGATAAGTCTCTGTTGTGAGAGAAAGGCTATTCTGTGCATTGTAGAATGTTTGGAAGCATCCTTGGCCTCTCTTCCCAAGGCGGCCAGTAAAGCACATGCACACACCCCTCAATTGTGACAACCAAAAATGTCTCCAGACATTTCCCTGTGTCCCCTCTGGTGCAAACTGGCCACAGTTGAGAACTACTGACATAGACTACACGATCCACCCCACTTCCTGATTACTTCCTCTTTCTCACTTAAGATTATATGGCACTTTGCTTACTTACCACCTACCACTACTTAAAACATTCTTGGGGCACCTGGGTGGCTCAGTGGGTTAAAGCCTCTGCCTTCGGCTCAGGTCATGATCCCAGGGTCCTGGGATCAAGCCCCAAATCGGGCGCTCTGCTCAGCGGGGATCAGCGGGGAGCCTGCTTCCTCCTCTCTCTCTGCTTGCCTCTCTGCCTACCTGTGATTTCTGTCAGATAAGTAAATAAAATCTTTAAAAAAAAAAAAAAAAATTCTTGATGGCTTAATTTCCAAAATGTCCTTTTAGTTCCCTAACTTTCTCACCTACTCCCATCGTGATACCCAGAACTGGTATTCACCAAATACTACACATTTTTAAAGTCTTGATTTCAAGCATTTCCTACTTTCCACCTTTTACAGTTTGAACAGCTCTATACTCTTTCAACCCCATTAGACTTCAATCCTTTAATCCCACTAGTTTCATTCACTGCAATCTCACATCACCTATGATTTCCCTTTTTTAACAGGCTTGGATTCCACAATCCCTCTTTTGCAAAAACTCAGTCCTTCATTCCTTTCATATGCCAAATTTCCAACTGTGGTTTCATCAACTCAGCTCCTACTTTGGGCTAGCATCTGATTGTGAGTTGGGAAAACATACGTGGTACAGCTCTCACCTTAATTCTTTTTAAGAAAACTTGGAAGTCTTACACTGGATAGGAGACCTGTACTTGAATGTGAATTTAGAGAAGTCAGTATTCAAAAGTTGGGATTTTCTAGTGACTGCCTATTTAAGTACAACCTCTCATTTCCTCCTATAAAATTACTGGAAGCTCTACGTTGCTCAAACACTAAATACCCCTATGTAGGTCTTGGCGTTTACTTAACTATGTTAGCACAAAAAACTGAACAGTGCAACAAAGATGATTTCTCTTTTTCTGCCACCTATTGCTGATCTGTAATACTAATAATTTCCTGTGATTCCTTGATTCTCCATTTCCAACCTTAAGTCATCACAGATCTTTAAAATTCAGAAGGCTTTTTATACATTGTTCCCAGAGAATACACTCTTGTGGATTCCACTTCAAATTTTAAGTGAAGTTTGGCATTATTTCACATCCTGAAACAAAAAGTAATACTCATGGAGAAAAATCAGATTTAAATACATCATTTCTACTTTCTGTGTACTGATACTATTATAAAAATTCAGTATGCCTAATTAATGTATTCAGGTTTTGAAGTAAAACCTCAAGTGATTTAACACCTTTCTAAAAAGAATAATTGCCAAGGGACACCTGGGTGGCCCAGTTGATTAAGTATCTGACTCTTGGTTTTGGCTTAGGTCGTGATCTCAAGGTCATGAGACTGAGCTCTGAGTGGGACTCCACAATAAAGGTGGAGTCTGTTTGATATTCTCTCTCTCCCTGTCCCTTTGCCCCTCCCGCTTTGTTCTTGTGTGCTCTCTCTCAAATAAATACATCTTAAGGGAAAAAAAAAAAAAAGCATTGCCAATACATCGTTGAAAGTGCTGCTGAAATGTTTCATATATCTTTACCATAGAGTTGAAGAAATTATCTCAAGCTCCACTGTCCAGTACTGTAGCCAGTTAGCCACATGTGGATAGTCTGAACTGAAATGTGCTGAAAGTATAAAATACACAATGGATTTGAATACTTAGTATGAAAAAGATTGCTAAATATACTGTCTTCATAGATAATAAGTATTAAATATCCCAATTTTTATATTTTGCAATAATAGTTTGGATATACCAAGTTAAATAAAATATATAATTAAAATTAATTCAACCTTGTTTTTTTTTAATAGTTATTTAAATATTAGAGAATACACATGAGCAGGGGGAGAGGAAGAGACTCTCAGACTCCCCACTGAGTGTGGCGCCTGATGTGGGGATGAGTCTCCCAACCCTAAGATCATGACCTGAGCCAAAATCAAGATTCAGACGCTCAACTGACTGAGCCACCCAGGTGCCCCTGACCTATTTGGGTTTTTTGGGGGGGTTTTTTTGTTTTTTGTTTTTTGTTTTTTTTTTTAATCTTCTAATGTGGCTACTAGAAAACTTAACGTCACATTTGTGGCTCACATTGTATTTCTGCTAGATAGCACTGGTCTAGAGAAATAGTTTGGCATAAACCAGGTACCCTGTTTTATTATATCTCTTTAATGCAGTCTCTTATATTGCTTATAATATTTAAGCCTGAATTATGGACATTCCCTTCATATGTGAACTTTTTATATCCTTTTAGATAATTACATTACTGTTCACCTAAGTTAAAAAAAAATAGTCATGGCTGCAATATTTTCCCCTCTTTGAAATACAGATGTGATACTTTTCTAAAGTAATCCTTGTATCTAAACTAGCCATATAAATATATTCTACGTGATCTGAAAATTGGTTCTTCAGCCAGTAAACAAAGAAACAAGACATTACTGCAACAAGGAAGTTTTGTTTTAAAATACTCCAGTGTTAAAGTCTTGGGCAATCTTGCCTTAATGTGTCACCTCATGCCTGTGCCTGGACTTCTGCAGTAGTCTGTCCAATAGCCTTGCTGCTTTGAGTTTTAACTTTTTCAGTCCCTTCTTCATACTACAGCCAGAGTGAGATTTCAGTCTGACAACACAACTACTCTTTTGTATACCCTTCAAGGGGTCTCCACTGTCTACACAATAAAGTTCAAATGCCTTACATGATATGCAAATTCATCCAAGAATGGCCCTTGCCCACCAGATACCAGCCTGGTCTCTATGCCCCTATCATTCTAGTTGCTTGAAGAGGTGTCTCATATACCTGTCTTTATTCAGACTAGTTACAGTATCATCCCACCCCTCCCATTCTAATATGGCAAAAACTGGTTTTATCACTCAAGTCTCAAGTTAAAAACCTCCTAGGAAGCTCTTCCTGTCCTGCCCGAAAACTGCCCAATCCTGTCTTTGAACACTCCCAGTCACACTGTTCTCACATTCATACCAGTTTCTAAGCCTAAGTTAAGATGTCAGGTCCTCCCAGGTAAAGACTCTGTAAGTGTAGGAACTATGCCATACTCATTTTTGTATCCTCAGCACTAGACAAGGTGGGTGGCACAGGAAAAAGTTTTAATCAGTGTGTGTTAAACTTCTTTTCAAAGATATCCACATCTGTATATATACACTGTCATCCCTAACTTAACTGAAATCAGAGTCCACTTCTCATCAGTTCTATAACACCATCACTAAAATTTCTAGTACTTTTTTTTTTTGAGAGAGCAAGAGAGTGCACACATGGGGGGAGAGGGATCGAGAGAGAGAGAGAGAATCTTAAACAGACTGTGTGGAGTGTGGAGCCCATTGTAGAGCTAGATCTCACAACTCCAAGTTCATGACCTGAGCCAAAATCAAGAGTCACACACTTGAGGAGAACACAGGCAGCAACCTCTTTGACCTCAGCCGCAGCAACATCTTCCTAGGAACATCGCCCAAGGCAAGGGAAGCAAGGGCAAAAATGAACTATTGGGATTTTATCAAGATCAAAAGCTTTTGCACAGCAAAGGAAACAGTTAACAAAACCAAAAGACAACTGACAGAATGGGAGAAGATATTTGCAAACGACATATCAGATAAAGGACTAGTGTCCAGAATCTATAACGAACTTAGCAAACTCAACACCCAAAGAACAAATAATCCAATCAAGAAATGGGCAGAAGACATGAACAGACATTTCTGCAAAGACATCCAGATGGCCAACAGACACATGAAAAAGTGCTCCATATCACTCGGCATCAGGGAAATACAAATCAAAACCACAATGAGATACCACCTCACACCAGTCAGAATGGCTAAAATTAACAAGTCCGGAAATGACAGATGCTGGCGAGGATGCAGAAAAAGGGGAACCCTCCTACACTGTTGGTGGGAATGCAAGCTGGTGCAACCACTCTGGAAAACAGCATGGAGGTTCCTCAAAGTGTTGAAAATAGAACTACCCTATGACTCAGCAATTGCACTGCTGGGTATTTACCCTAAAGATACAAACGTAGTGATCCGAAGGGGCACGTGCACCCGAATGTTTATAGCAGTAATGTCTACAATAGCCAAACTATGGAAAGAACCTAGATGTCCATCAACAGACGAATGGATAAAGAAGATGTGGTATATATATACAATGGAATACTATGCAGCCATCAAAAGAAATGAAATCTTGCCATTTGCGACAACGTGGATGGAACTAGAGGGTATCATGCTTAGCGAAATAAGTCAATCAGAGAAAGACAACTATCATATGATCTCCCTGATATGAGGGAGAGGAGATGCAACATGGGGGGTTAATGGGGTAGGAGAAGAGTAAATGAAAGAAGTTGGGATTGGGAGGGAGACAAACCATAAGTGACTCTTAATCTCACAAAACAAACTGAGGGTTGCTGGGGGGAGGGGGATTGGGGGGGGTGGGTGGGGTTATGGACATTGGGGAGGGTATGTGCTATGGTGAGTGCTGTGAAGTGTGTAAACCTGGAGATTCACAGACCTGTACCCCTGGGGAAAAAAAATATATGTTTATAAAAAATAAAATTTAAAAAAAAAAAGTCACACACTCAACAACTGAGTCATCAAGGCACCCCCTATTACATTTTTTAAAATCCCCCAAATATCTAATATTCTTGTTAATGCTGGCTGTTTACCAGAATTACCTGTACCACTTCTAAAAATATAAATGTTCAGGCTACACAATCTCTGAGAATATTAAATTAATTGGGCTGACATAGGTCCATAGGTGATTCAAATTCACAGTCAGGCTTAAGAACCACTACACGAAAGACTTAAAGGCATAGTGATAACTCTTGCCCCCTGTATGCCTGGAATCTCACCAGGTGAAATGAGCATCATAAGAGATTACATAAAGGCATCAAAACGCAAAACCAACACATATTACATGCATATACTGTGTTCTCAAATCAAGTACATTTCAGCCAATACTTTTGAATATACTCCAAATTTATTATGCTCACTTATCAGGAGTTGATATTAAACTGAAAACAAAATATTTACCTGAGAAAAAGAGGAAAAGCATCATTCTTGTCAAAATGAATCTATTAGTACCTATACTTCTAAAGTTGTCCTAATTTAAGGACCCTCTAAACCTAACCAGTGATTCCCACACTCCTTTCACTCCAGTTATTCTTAGAAATAATCACAAGTTTGGAATTTGAAGAACATCCAACACAAGACTGGATTAGTTAGCTAACCAAATATTTGTCTTCTACTGTCACCTCTCTTAGTGGGTGTGATTATATACTCCAGGGATAACACTTTGGCTGAGGTTCTCAATATGATTGTGGACTCTGAAAACATTTACTATAGTTCTAGATTTCTTAAGAAAACATATCAAGGAACCTTCCCCCCGCCAACATAAAAACTCTAGTTGAGCTTCTGTTTCTTTGACAGACTTTATTATATTCAAAAGTCCTTCTAAAACAAACATTTTAGGTTTGGCTGACACACCATCCACTTGTTTGCTTTGCTGAAATGCCTTCAACTCCTCCTCAAATAAAAATTGGATGAAATTGCCAGACAAGCTTGAGCAAGAAAGGATCTGAAACACAGCAGTTTAGTAAAAAATCCAATGCCCCCATTTTCTTGAGATATGAGAGTTTAAGAACAAAAAATTACTGGAATTAAAAATAAAAGAGTTAATTCATGTTGCACGGTGTTATCTTCATATGTGTTTTCTACATAGATTTCATCTCTTTAAAAAGTACTCTACCTCAGCCTGTACACATCTGCTACTACTAGAATCTGTTTTTTGTTTTGTCTGGATGAAACTCAAAAAGTGATTGAAGTTGCTTGTGTAAATGGTTACAGTTACTTAGAAGTGACCTTCTCTGCAGGATCTCGCACTGTCATATGTGTGTGTTTGTGCGTGTGTATGTGTGTGTAGACAGATCACATATATAGTGTGTGTGTGTTGTGTATGTGTTCGGGAAATGGTTTTAGCATGATTGATGGTATTATGTATGTCACTAAAAGACCATGCTCCTAATGAATTCTACTAGATTCTAGGTTATGCTGAAGCATAAGCTAAGCACCTGACACTCCCATGTTTTTAAAAAGTGACTGCACTATATCTGTGGCTCATCTTCATAATTACAAAGATTTAGACATTTCTGATTTTCAGAGCAACCGTCTTGGACAATATCTAGCTGCTATAGTGTTTCTAGGCAAAAAATCAAAAAGATAAAATCAGGTAAAGCTATATATTCATGATCAAATCAAATTTGCAATAGAACTACAGAAAAAAGAGAGTCTTGTTTTGCATTCTTTCCACCAAATGATGCTTGATACCAGAATAAGCAACTAAAAGGAATTAAGTGTAATATTTATGAACTTTTCTCTCAATTATATTGCTGCGCCACAGTAGAGACAGGGTCATTTCATGATACTCATAGTTTAGAGTAGAAAATATCAAAAGCAAGTAATTTATATTATGTAAGTTTCATAGGGACTACAAAAAAACCTGATTTATTCCAAGTTTCCATTTCAAAATGCCAACAGGATATTGCATTCCAAAGTCTGCATTGCATTAACACTAGGAAAAATGAGAAAAATGAGATAGAAGGCCTATAAATGGTGACTCCCCAATTACCTCAGTTACCCTAATTTTAATGGCATAAAAAAGTGTTTGGGACAGCACATGTGAAAGTTAGAAACAAATTAGAATTTGATCACTGGAACTCTGTCAGCCTTACAATAAAGTACCCTTATCATGTAAAGAGGCTACCCTATGTAAAATGAATGTGACAGAATTGTGGATCTGAAGTAACTGCATTCCGATCTCAACATCCCATGCCATCATTCTTAGATTATTCTGACATGAGGGTTATTTAAAAGAATGACTATAAAGGCAAAACAAATAAACATAAAAATCTGTCATTCCACAGTATAAAATAACACAGACAGTAACAGCAGTCTATGCTTTATTCAAAAAAAAACCTTATTTCAAAAAAAGTGTTCAAGAACACTGGCCTATATCATCACTGTAAGAATTTAACATCAAGGAAGGCCTGATGAACAAGAAACCATTATAGAACATATGCAGAAGTCCAGTAGTTAAAGCAGTTGAGCTATCAATAGAAAAAGGAAGTGAGAGCTAACTTCTAAACATGAAATTTAGGTCCCCCACTAGTAGACCTTAAATTAGACTCCCAAGGGACATCTGGGTGCTCAGCTGGTTAAGCATCCAACTCCTGGTTTCAGTTCAGGTCATGATCTTGCAGTCGTGGGATCAAGCCCCACATCGGGCTCTGCATTCAGCATGGAGTCTGCTTCAGAGTCTCTCTTTCTCTCTCTTTCTCTCTCCCCCTCCCACACTCTATCTCTCATAAATAAATAAATAAATAAATAAATAAATAAATATTTTTAAAAATAAAAAGTGAATAAATCAGACGCCCAAGAAATCTAAAAGGAAGATAACCTCTCGGAACCTGAAGATCCTGCTTCTACAGGGCAGTTTCCCTGCAATTCCAAAGATAATTGATTTTTGCAAATTTCAGCATTTCTGATGATTAAAGGAGGGCTGTTTTAATCCAAAGTCCTTGAACCCAGAAAAAAACAAAAATTGGGAGCTTATTTGCAATCACTAGTAAGTGTCCTTAGTTTTTTAATATATTCACTGTAATAAAGATGTAAGCTGTAGCCTCCTTAGGCACTGCAAAACAGAAAGTCTATGAAATCTGGTAAAGGTTACAGACCAAGTCAGATGGATATAAAACACATTTGCAAAACAATTCTCCCCCTACACATAGTAAGAGAGTCTTGCATTATATCTACAGCACCTCAAAATGCTGTGTATCATCATCTGCTCCTCTGCTTTTTAATTAACTGTCTTTATCTTATACTGAGCAGATAAAGGGAAGAAATTCAGAAATCACATATGGAAGGAATTATCTGTTGATCTAGGTTTAAGATACCACAATCCTCTAAAGCATCCAACATTCTTAAATAGATCCACTATCTGGCAACTGAGCCCCCACTTTCATCATGCAACAACCATTTAGGAGTATCTCCTCTATGCCAAGTAATACACTAGACACTCAGTTTATAAACAGAAGTGAGATGATTACTGACTTTAAGCAAGAATCTAGAAGGAGCATGCCAGGGGAGGAATAATGACATGTAAACAAACAAACTCAAACATGTACCAGAAAGAAAAGAAAAAGACCATCCAGGGAACCCAAAAGTCAGATAAAAGTTTTCAACCTCAAGCACAATTTTTGGGTAATTTCCCTACTTTAAAACTTTAAGCCTTAAACCCTGAAGTCCATAACTTAAAAGAGACCTGAAAGACAAGGTATCTTAATCAAGAGGAGGATAATGTAAACTGAACCTCTGTAGTTATTTTGTCCAAACTCTAAGCCCTAAGACAGGTTTCTCCAGGTTCTCTATAATTTCCTACCTTCTTTTATTCCAGTAGTCAGTGTGTTAAAATCATCCTGAATTTCCTACTTTTGATAATAATAATCTTTGATTCCCTTTCTTGAAACTCAACATACTAATAGGCATTATTTGTTTTGAATTTTACAGTTTTTAACTTTTCAGATGCTTAGCAGATCATTTCCTCCTTCATTATTGCCTTCATTTTACAGGTGGGAAAACTGAGGCTCCAACAGGCTAAATAATTTCCACAAATTAAAGCTAAAATTGGAGAACTGTGACCTTGGTCTCAATGGCCAGATCCAAGTCTTTTGTTACACAGTACCAAGTTCTACTGATTTCTGTCACAGTGGATCTACTTTCTCTCCCTCCTTTTCTACCTTCTGTCTCTATTATAATAGCCTTGTAATCAGTCTCCACCTAGTTCAAGCCACAATGAGTCTTAATCACTTGGTAATATAGACCAATTCGAGTCACTCCAGAAGCGTGTATGCAGAGATTTTTCATATAATTTGAAGCTCATTCACAGACCCCTGGATTAGTAATTCTGCTTTAACTCCTCAGATTTATCCTGTATATCTCCAAATGACTCATCTCTTAAAACTCTCTGATCTCATTTCGAGCCTCAAAAAACTAGTGATTTTCTACCACCTCATGAATGAAACAAAATTCACTATCCTGGCATTCCAGGCCTTTTCTGATTCTCTACTGTAAGTCCACTACCAAAGCTCCAGATCACTATCTTAACTAATAACCGCCACTGTTCAAATATGTCCCAGGTTTTTTCACCACCATGTTCTCAACATGAGACATTATCCACCTTCAGCCTCTACCAATACATGAATCCAACCTCTGTGCTTGAACACACTTCATAAAAGAACTTACTCTTCCTCCCACATACGGCCCATTCCATCTTTGGTCCTAGTCTTAAAGAAATAAAAAATAAACAACTCTTCATGTTAAAAAGAAAATTATCGGGGCACCTGGGTGGCTCAGTGAATTAAAGCCTCTTCCTTCAGCTCAGGTCATGATCCCAGGGTCCTGGGATCGAGCCCTGCATCGGGCTCTCTGCTCAGCAGGGAGCCTGCTTCCTCTCTCTCTGCCTGCCTCTCTGCCTACTTGTGATCTCTGTCTGTCAAATAAATAAATAAAATCTTTAAAAAAAAAAAAAAAGAAAATTATCTTTTCTCCCATTAACATCTATGGTACCTGAATCAACAGGTAACAAATCTAATCCAATTTCACACAAATTCCCGTCTTTTTGCCTTCCCTGGTATACCACATCATTTTTTTTTCATGATGTGGCACCTAGAACTGAACACAGTTCTCTCTGTTTGATAGTGACAGTGCTTTTGTCTCTGCCAATAGCTTGAGTACAATAAGAATAGCAAGACTCATCAATGCTGTTCTGTCAGTGCTGCCCACTACTTATTAACTCTGGGCAACTTCATTACATCACTGACTTATATGAAGTTTGCAGGACTCTAAAACTCATGAGGTCTTCTTCACTTGTGCAACATATAAACCAAGTTTCCTGGAACTAAAGTCAGCATTCTACTTCCTCTCTATTCCACAATGCTTGTTAGAATCAGCATATCAAGATCTTTTGCTATCATGGATCTTATCTCCAACGTGTGTCCATCTCAATCTTCTGACATCCAAAAATATAATTAATTTACCATCTTTTTGGTGTCTTTGTCAGTTTAGTGATTAATATATTTAATATCTTTTTCAGTTTAATGATTAATATGTTGAATAGGACATGGATAAGTATCCTGTCAACTCCAATATATTCTTCCTCATCATCATTATTCAAAAATCCAGATCATATTCTATTTTGGCCACCAGGCAAGTGCGTCTTAACCATTAGTGTTCATAAGAATCATCAGAGATGCTTGATAAAAATGCCAATTCCTGAGGCTCAGCTCCAAAGATTCAGTAGATCTGGAGTAGAGGCCCAGGAATCTGGATTTTTAACAAGCTGAATGTATCTAATATTGTGATAGAAAGATCACACTTTAAAAATGGCCCCCTGGGGAAACTGGGGCTCAGTCAGTTAAATGGTTAAGTGTCTAACTCTGTTTCAGTTCAGGTCATGATCAGGGTCATGGAATTGAGCCCCACCTCAGACTCTGCATTTGGCATACAACATAGTGGTGCTAAATCATTGCATAAAGAATATAATGTTCAATAAAAAGTGCTGGTAAACTATCCATGAAAGTATAGTTAGGTTCCTTTCCCATACCATATATACAAAAATAAACTGTAAACAGATTAAAAACCTAAACATGACAGGCAAACATAAATTTTCTTAAAGAAAAACTAAGATAATATCTTCATCAAGTAGGGCTAGGAAAGGATTTTTTTATAAAATATAAAAACTTTTATCAAACTTAAAAAACTGACACACCTAAACATGTTAAAATTAAAATATCTTTATAAGAAAAAGATTTTAGAGAAGTGACAGGACATACCCCTGATTGAGAAAAGGTATTTGTAATATATAACAACAAAGACTATGTACACAGAACAAATTTTTTACATCAATTACAAAAAAAATCCAACAGAAAAATAAGTAAAGGATATAAACAAAGAAGTCATGAAAGAGGAAGACACTAATCGAGGAAATGGAATTAAAAAGAAATCCAAAATTTTAATAGTGGCAAAAAGTAAGACTGTTGATAGTATAAAGTTGAGTTGGGGATCTGAGTACAGAGGGACTTACACATTGCCAAGATATAAATGGATACAATTACTTTAGAAAGGAAATTAGTAATGCCAAGTGAAATTGAAATGTACCCATACTCTAGCAAAATGCTCCCACATATATGTACCCAATGAGACATAGAATGGATATCTACTACCACACAGTTTTTTCATAATAAGAGAATGGAAACCACCTAACTACCCATTAGTATGGGAATAAATAAGCTGTGATGTAGTCTTCCAATAGGAGTTAAGATTCACATGGTGGTTAAAGTGAACAAAATCTATATGGATAAATTACAAATATACAGTGAAGCCTTATGAAATCACATATGGAAAAATATAAAACAAATTTTTGCTTGTAAGAATTTCTCAATGACATGTTACACATTTTATGTAAGACTTTTTATTATGACCATTTTCAAATACATAATATAGTGAGACTCCTATACGTATCACCTTGCCTCATTAATTATCAATATTTTACCAAAGATTGGTATGCATTTAGACATAACAAAATTCATGCTGAGGAAATGGCCATGAGCCAGGCCAACCAAAAAGCACAGGACAAGAAGAAAGGAGAGCCAGGTACTATTGCAGGCATTGCTACCAAGAGCAGCGTGATTCTGGCACATTAATTTTCTCTGAGTGGCCTCCCCTCTGAACTGGGAAGACTTGAGATTGGACTGATAAAATAGGACATGAGAAAATAATCAGGATGCAACCTTTCTAGAAGGTACAAATGAAGAAATCTAAAAGGCACAAAACACAAAGAAGACCCAAAAGATCAAAAACAATAAAATTTGCACTCCCTATTCTTAGTGTCTTGTAACTAGATAATCTGAGGTCTCTTCTAGGTCTGCTGGGTTATGATGTCACCCTCAGATATGTTCTCGAGAAAAGCACTAACATAGCCACCTCCCCCCACCCCCGAAAACACATCGTCTTTGTTCCCTATAGCTTGCTTTAGTACCCCAGTAGCTTTTGGAAGGATCTCTTTGCTCCTCTGTTACTTCCCCCCACTTCCACAGTGCTGTTGGCATAGATAAGGAAGACTAGTAGCCTGGCTCTGTCACCCCAAGTTTCCAGTATGCAATAGAGAAAGAAGGAATCAGAAGAAAGGCAATTAAGAGCCTAACTGAGTCGTCTGGAAAGGTAGACACATACCTCTTGAAGCAGTGCGCCGCTGTAAGGACCCAGCAGCTACTTAGGAGCGTGGCCCCACAAAGAAGCCTGCCATCTCCGTGGGATGACTTTAGCCGGAGGGATACTTGCCAAGGCCAACCACCCCTAAGAAGAAGGTAAGTCACTTAACTCCACATAAGGTAGAAAAGGCAGAGAAAATCATCCATTAAAACAATGACTCAGAAAGCTTGCAGGTTGGAGAAAAGCAGTACAAAAGGGACCCTCGGATATAAAAATCCCTTCCTACTTTGAAAAATCATGCCCCTAGAACTCTGAGCAGTCCACACTGAAGATTTGCTTGTGGGTATTTGTATGCATCCCACCTATCTCTGACAGTCATAGAATCAAGTTGAGTCTTCTTTATACTTCATTGTTTGAAGTGTATTTTCTCTCCCCACTACCTCACTCACCTAGGCAGCCTAAAGAAGTATTTAATAAGTGAAGTACTGGTTTTCCATGAGTAAATGCAACAAATAAAATTATATTAAAAGAGTCAAGTCTAAAACAAATATATTCTAAATTAAATGAATTTTGTAGTTATGTGTTTTTTTCAGACCTCCTGTTAAATCAGTTTCTACCACATAACTTTTCAGCAACATATCTATTTTATAAATCAGAGGGTAGCGATCTAACAACATGACCTATATAAAGTAAATGTAGGTCAAAAAATGTGAAATTATTAGTGTAATCTGTATTTAATTTACCCAATATTAAATAAATAAAATAAATCCCTTACATAACACTAAAAAAACCCCAATTGGTAACACTGTGTAGAGATAATCATATATAGATAATTCTGTAATATGGAAAAGAACATTTTACCTTAAAGAATTTTTCCCACCAATGATCCGCTTCTGCCGATGGTGCAGTAATCTCAAGCCACACACAGATGAGAGGGATTCTGAAGCAGACAGAAGTTATTAATCAGATTATCATATTGCTGATAGTGGGATAAAGACACAAGTGATACATTACCTGCTGCTTCCTTCTCTATTTTTATTTTATTTTATTTATTTATTTGACAGACAGAGATCACAAGTAGGCAGAGAGGCAGGCACAGAGAGAGGAGGAAGCAGGCTCCCCGCTGAGCAGATAGCCCGATGCGGGGCTCAATCCCAGGACCCTGGGATCATGACCTGAGCCAAAGGCAGAGGCCCTAACCCACTGAGCCAACCAGGCGTCCCTCCTTCTCTATTTTAAAATGTCTTCTCTCCTCAAATTATAGGATACTGTTTCTTATAATAAAAATTCTTCTCACTTAAAAAATCTTCTCACTTAACCAAGAATTCCCAAGCAGATCAGGAACTTGAGGAAGTTTCCCATATTCAGTGTGGACTCTGCCCAGTACATCATCCTACAGGTGCCTACATCTCCTCCTCTGCTGATTTCAGAAATCATTTGGGAGTGTAGGAAGGGTAAAGCAAGAGAACAGCAAAGGCAATACTGGTCTAAACTACTTGCTCTTCATACACAACACTGCCAAGCCATGTCTACAAAAATGTAACTTAAAGGAGCAAAGCACATTCGTGGAATGGGATTCTGATCTAAATTCACATTTACATTTAATCATATAGCAAATTAACTTATGGAAAGTTTTACTAAACAGTCTAAGTGAAATTTGAGGGAATATAGTCAAACTTCCCAACATAACAGACTCGATCAAGAGCATAAAAAAGAGTTAAGAATTAAAATGTATGAAAAAGTGGTATACAAAAGAAAGTAAATAAAGTATGACTATTTCAAAAATAATTTTAGGAAGGAGGAGAATCTCTATAGTATTTTGTTTCCTTGGTTAAGTATATGTTTTAAAATATCGATAGATAGTTTTTCTATCTGTGTAAGAAGAAAAGGCTGAGAATTGCACCATGACCATGAAAATCTAATCAACATGGGGTGCCTGGGTGGCTCAGTGGGTTAAAACCTCTGCCTTCGGCTCAGGTCATGATCCCAGGGTCCTGGGATCCAGCCCCGCATCGGGCTCTCTGCCCAGCAGGGAGCCTGCTTCCTTTCCTCTCTCTCTGCCTGCCTCTCTGCCTACTTGTGATCTCTCTCTGTCAAATAAATAAATAAAATCTTTAAAAAAAAAATCTAATCAACACTAATATTCTCCCAAAATAATCAGGTAAAAGGGAGCTCAGTAGGGAATCAGCACTAGTTATTTCTTCAGAGAGAAAGAGGTTCAATAACATGTACCAAAATCATTAATTCGCCAAATGATCTCAGAGGCATGCTGTCAATCTTTAATTCTCATCTCTTTAGGCTATGAGTCCTCTAGATGACACAGCAAATTATAAGAGATGAGAAAAACATAAGTTTCAAATAATGGTCCAAGTCAAGTCAATGCATAGAACACCAAAATAAAAGAATGATGTAATTAATACTGAGCAAGCAAAACTGAAAGTTTACATCATCCTGGGGCAAGGCACCCGATTACAAAAACGTAAAATCTATTTAAAGCCATAAAATCCACAGTTACCAAAAAAACACAAAAACAAAAACAAAAAAAATTAGAAAGCAAAATGAAGTTCATTTATAAAAGGATCCCATCAGATGACCAATAACCAATGGCCTGAGTGTGAATTCCCTTATGGAAGTCACTAGGGAGGTGCCTGGGTGGCTCAGTTTGTTAAGTGGGGGTCTCTTGACTTTGGCTCATGTCATGACCACAGTCATGAGATAGAGCCCCCACACTGGGCTCTGCCTAGTGCCAAGTCTGCTTGACCCTCTCCTTCCCCCCTACTTGTGCTCTCTCTCTACAATATATTAATAAAATCTTAAAAAAAAAAAAAAAAGAAAGAAAGAAAAAGAAAAACAAGAAGTCACTAGGTCTTGAACCTCAATACAAAATCAATAGGTTAATAAGCCAGATTCTGTAATCCAGCTGGTCTAAAATGAAATCTTGTTATTTGATGTATGGTGGTATTGAACCATGAAAAGGTATCAAAATAAGTGTTGCTACAACTCTAGGAATTTACGAAAACAAATGTATAAGTAATGAAATACATATGGTATTTCATACTTTAAAGTAGGTTTATATAGGAATATGGTAGAAACATTTACAATTCTTAAGTTTTTATGTTTTCTACTGCTTCAGAAATTTGATATAATCCAAAGAATTAGTTATATTCCATTTTTAACTGTAGTTTAAATTATTGAAAGGAATTTAACACATTATGTTAAAATTAATATTTATATATGTATACTATTTAGTAATATTAAATATATGTGATTTGGTAAGCTGAGAAGCTCCTCAGACAGTGAAGAATCATATTAACAGCATCCAGTTTATTTTTGCATTGTCTTTAGCAATTAAAAGATGTTAGAAAATGAGAATGCTCAAATACAGGTACCTAATTTTCAGAAAGTCCAATCCATCAAAACTATGAACTTTCAACATACATGAAGAGGTGATTTTTCTTTTCATAAAATGTAACCATAGTTTTCTACAAAATAGCTACTTTTTTATTCATTTAAACCAGTTGTTGTTTCATAAAAGTTACTCTCAGCTTTAAAGGACCTTTTTATTTAAGTACAAAACATCTATTACTGTACTATACTATAAGACTATTTCTCATTTTCCTTAATGTTTCTAAATTTCAGAAACTAAACTCTACAAAAGATAATATTCTTTTTGCAATTACTTTTAAATTTATCCTGGTTGTTTAAAATATCAGTAAGAGTAAAAGAAGTTCCTTTCTGTGATTCATCTTTATATTTTCCTTTTTTGGGAGCGCCTGAGTGGCACAGTCAGTTAAGTCTCTGACTTAACCCTTGAACGGTTCATGTCTAATCTCAGGGTGGTTAGGATCAAGTCCCACACTGGTCTCCACACTGAGCATGGAGCCTGCTTGAGATTCTCTCTCTCCCTCTGCCTCTTCTCCCCTCCCCTCTCTCCCTCCTCTAAGAAAATAATAATAATAGAAAAATTCATTTCTTTCTATGTCAATTCTAAATCTTCAAGGATACCAACAAGTTTGACTGTTTTATTACATCCAGAGAAAGAATGGGACAGAAGTGGGAGAATGTCAAAAGGGCATGATGTCAAATCCTATAAATTGACTCCCACCCCTGAACTCTGCTCCCCATGTAAGCCTCATCAGTCAAGTTTGTCAGGAACCACCGCCTCTAAATACGAACACAAAGTAGGTATAGTCTTATGGAAGGAGTTTGTTATCAAAATACTGTTTATACTAATGAAGTGAAAAGTACTCTGACTTGTATTAGACCCAGAAAATGACTTACCTTTATTACTGTTACCTGTTGCCTTCTTGCTAAAATAATCACAAATGACTCCTGCATCTTCACTGTGGCGGCAGTTATGTCTTCCAATATCTTGCTTGATACAGTCAGCCAGGGACCTCTCGTTTCCTGTGCACTTCACATTGTCCACGTGGATGGGTCCGTTTCCTTCTCCAAAATAAGCCATGGTTCTTGCTTTGGCAGGGCCCCTGGGAACAGAGCATTCTTGAGGATGTGGAGGACGAGATGATCGTACATTTGAATACACCACAACATACAGTCTAATTCAATTAACTCTTAAATATTAAAATTAGCATCTATGTGTGCTAAAAAATATTTACTTCATGACTCTGTCCAAAAAAAGCTTAAAAGAGGTAATAACTAAACCTTATCTGTTTTCCTACCCCAGAGCTTCCTTATTGCATCAGTTAGTTGCCTCTAATTTAGCTTCTGCTGAGAAAGTCACATTTAATAGCATGTCAGAAATTCATGATAGTCTTAAACTCTAGTTTAAGCAAGAAAAAAAATCATCTCAAAATTTTCTTTTATAGAGCATAACACTCTTTTAAAGTTGGTTAAAACTGCCAAGAAAAATATGAGGTCAAATAATAGCCTAGGGAGCTAAAAATTTTAAAGTCCTCTTTAGAAATAAAAAGGTCTAATTTTTTTTTAAAGTCTAATTTTTAACAGAGAAAGACAAAACCAGGAATCACAAATAGAAGTAAGAGTTATTTTGGTATGTCACTTTTTTGTTGTTGTTTGTTTTTAATTGCACAGTACTTTTTTAAAATATCCAAATACTAGGGCTTTATTCATGAAATATTTCAAACTAACACCATATTCAAAATTCAATTCTTGATAAACTAATGGCAAAATTAGGAAAGGCAAAGTTTTAAATTCTGAATCATAAGGAAATTATCTTTACAACCTCAACTTAGGGAAAGACTTATTAAACAAGACATAGGTGATATACTTTAAAGGACTAATAAATTCAATAAAAATTAGGAATGCTATTTTACTAAAAACCACCCTAAGGAAAAGTAAAAGATAAATTAAAAGGTTGATGCATATAGTTGTAATACGTACTTACAAATATATTTGTTGGTGAATACACCCAATAGAGGGGACTATCATACCAAAAAAAAAAAAAAAAGAATTCTCAAAATTCATTAATTTTTTTTTAGAACTAACAACCCAAGAGAAAAATGGGCAAAAGACAGGTTTTAAATCCAAAGAAACTGATTCATTAAAAATGACTATTTGGACCATATTTCTCTCATCAAAATATATTCTACTTAAAGTTATTATACTTTCCTTATACTTTGCAGGATCTCTAGCAAAGTCATTTATTGATACAGTTTCTCTGAGAAATTCATTTGAATTACCTCCTTCAGCAATGAAACCTGAACTCACATGCTTGTGGTTGGCAGCACAGTTACTTCAGAAACTGGTACAGCTAACTAGTTAACTGCTACTCTGACAAAAAGTGCAAATAAAAATAAGATTTAACCCATTATAAACTTTTAGTCATAGAAGACCCCTATACCCGAACAGATGACTCTAACAGTACTCTTAAAGTAAATCTTTTATAATATGAAACGTATTTATTAATTACAGAAGTAATAAATGCTCATTGTATCAAATTTACAAAATAAAAGTATAAAAAATCCCAACAACACGCTGCTAGCATTTGGCATATTCCCTTCCTGTACATACTTATGGGGAAAATACTAACCATAATTTTTACTGGTTAAAAAGATTTATTGAACACTTCAGTGCATCTCAAACTTCAGAGTACTTAAAAGGCCACTTGGATTGATTCTGAGTGAGTGTATCACCAATGGGACTTAGCAATCTATTTTTTTTTTAATAAGCCCTACATGATTCCTATTCAGGAAGCTCTGCATCAGACTTTAACCTAGAGGCTCCTGGGTGGCTCAGTCTGGTAACTCTTGATTTCAGCTCAGGTCATGATCTCAGGGTCCTGAGATTGAGCCCCGCCTGAGGCTCTACACTCAGCATGGAGTCTGCTTGAGATTCTCTCTCCCTCTGCCTCTGCACAAGCCCCCACTGCCCCACATGTGCACACTCCTATGCTCTCTCTCACACTCAAAATAAATAAAATCTCCTTAGAAGAAAAACCTTAACATAGAAAAATTAAAGTTTTTTCCCTACTGCTGCACATTTACTTTTAAAATTCAAGACTTTTGGGCGCCTGGGTGGCTCAGTGGGTTAAGCCGCTGCCTTCGGCTCAGGTCATGATCTCGGGGTCCTGGGATCGAGTCCCGCATCAGGCTCTCTGCTTGGCAGGGAGCCTGCTTCCCTCTCTCTCTCTCTCTGCCTGCCTCTCCATCTACTTGTGATCTCTGTCAAATAAATAAATAAAATCTTTAAAAAAATAAAAAAATAAAAAATAAATAAAAATAAAATTCAAGACTTTTTACAATTATAGATATATACTTAAATGTAAGTGTTGGTGGATAGCTTAGATTTCTTCCCAAAATTAGAATTTTTGTTCAACAGGTATAAAGATTTTTAAGGTTCTGGATATATATTGCTGAATACAGGGCAAGTCTTTGGAAAGGAAGTTATTCATTTGAAATACATACAATTAAAATGTGATTATTTAAAGAACAGTTTTTTTCTGTTTTATTTTGTGTATCATAGTTCTGTCTGGAATTTATTTCTGTTTAATGTTAGTAAGGGATCTAGCTTAATTTTTGTCTCTAAGTTCACTGTCCTAATAACTTTTCCTACTGATTTGAAAGGCTTTTTAATTTAATCATTTATCACAATTACATGTACAGAAGCCATTTCTTGGTCTTTACAGTTCAGTAATCCCCAACCTTGGCAACACATTTAGATTACCTTTAGAAGTCTTTAAAATAATAGCAAAACCTGAACCCACCTAATGTCAATTAAAGTAGAATCCACAGGAATAGGGCTGGGCATGGATTTTTTTTTTTTTTAACTCTCAGCGTTATTTTAATTGTACAACCAAGGTTGCTAACCACTGGTGCAGTTAGTGTCGTTGATTTCTTGCCTGTTCCTGTACCTATACCACATGGATATGATTTCAGATGAACCTGGAAATCAAGTCTCTCTCCCCACCACCACCCCACCAAATACATCAAGAAAAATAAAAGATTTTTATGAAAACAGCATTTAATAGTTACATTAATTTCTATTTTGTCTTTCCATTGTGGTGTATCACTTATTAGCTCTTCTACCTCCAGTAAAGATTTTCTTTTTTTCACATAGGTCTCAATTCTTGTGATTATTCCTAGTCATTTCTTTGTTTGTTTTTGTTTGTTTGTTTTTGTACCATCTAAATGACATTGTTTTCTTTTTATTTTTTACCTCACTTATAGGAGCTATTACATTTTTAAAATATTTGTATTTACATTATTACATTAATAAACACTAGTTCTAGTGCCTTTCCCATTGATTCTCTAGTGTTATTTAGGTGGAATAGCATATTACTCATGTAACAATTCTGACTTTTTTTCCAATACTGATACCTCAATGCTTAGTAAAGACCTTCAGATAGTACTGAGTCAATGCAGTAATAGCAGGCACCCTTGTTTTGTTCCTCTTTGATGACTGTGATATAAAGTCAAGGTAGTTTTATTTTATTCTAAGCTTCCTAATAGATATAATGAAGGAATGATGATTCTTAAAATATAACATTTCACCATTACTAACCAATCACATTTATTTTCATTTTTAGATGACACACTGGAATACATTAATTGAATGCCTCACTTGGAACTATTCTTTTATTCTTAAAATAGACTCCCATTTGTTTAAATTTATTTAAGTACACCATTGGATTAAATTTGCTAACATTTTATTTAAATTTTTGTATGTAGGCTCATGAGACTGGGTGTAGTTTTCTCTGTGTGTGTGTGTGTGTGTACTTAGACTGTCCAGTCTTGAAATCAATTTATATTATCCTCCTTAAATGAATGAAAAGAATTTCATATTTCATATTTTTCTCACTCTGCAACAATATATAACTTGGGACTTATCTGAACTGAAGATTAGTCAAAACTCTTTGAGCAAAAAATGATCATTAATTTGGGTTTTCTATCAATTTTCATAATTATATATTTGTTGAAAATGTGGTTTCCCAGATAATTTCATCCCAGTCCATTTCATCTAGATTTCCAAGTTTATTAGCTAAAAGTAATTCACAGTACTCTTTCACAATTTTTTTAACCTTCTATATATCTGTTCTCATATTCCTCTTCTTCCCTCCAATGTTTACTTGTATTCTCTCTCCTTTTTCTGAGTCAGAATTGCCACAAGTTGCTTATTTTAGTAATCATTTTTTTAAAAGATTTTATTTATTTGAGAAAGAGAGCATGAGTAAGGGGTGAGGCAGAGGGAGAGTGAGAAGCAGACTCCCCACTGAGCAGGGACCCTGACGTGGGACCCTATCCCAGGATCCTGAGATCATGACCTGAGCCCAAGGTAGAAGCCTAACTGACTGAGCCACCCAGGCACCCCTTTAGTAATCATTTATTTTTAAAGATTTTATTTATTTATTTGACAGACAGAGATCACAAGTAGGCAGAGAGGGGAGGACGCAGGCTCCCTGCTGAGTAGAGAGCCTGATGCCAGGACCCTGGGATCATGACCTGAGCTGAAGGCAGAGGTTTTAACCCACTGAGCCACCCAAGGTGCCCCATTTTTTAAAAAAATAGTAATAACTGCAGATGATGTGGGTGTGTAATGTAATGCAATTTGAAATTCAAATAGGCATAATTCAAAGAAAATAAAAAATTAATAGCATTCTGAAGTTAAAATCCTAGGTGATTCCCATGAGTTTGGAAAGTGAGGATTAGTGGAGGTAAAAGTAAATAATAGTATGCCAAATGTCTTGATATTTTTCAGCAAGGGAAACTTACAGTTAATTATTTTTGAAATTGGTAAGAAAATATGCCAGCGTGTTTCTTAAAAATTTTAAAACAACTTCTAGTAAAACAATAAGAATGCTGGATGAACAACCACTAGAGAAAGAATGACAATAGAAAATTGGGTTGCTTGCAAATCAAAAAACATAAGATTACACAAAGAACAGACAAAAAAGCATGATAAATACCATAGAAGCAGATGACAGGTAGAAGTAAACATATAGAAAACAAAATTAGACTAATTAAATAAAACAAAGGATGATCTCCTAGAAATTTATCAATCTACACAC